GATCAAAACAGAAGTGAATTGTAGCTTCTCATCTCAATCCAGTCTGCCCAGTCTACTTTTTTCGGTCAGGGTGGTCTATTTTTGCTGCTGCCCAGACCAGTCCTGCCGGACTGCCTGCAACGCTCGGACTGGTATTCTGTGATACTGGGCATTTGCCCGGTGGGCCGGTCCTAATTTCAGCGTGCGAGGGCCGGCCCTCCTTAAATCAAATCCTTAAATCCTACCTGTGACAGATAATAACTCAAGGAGCTCAAGAAGTAAAACAATGTTAACTACGTAAATGGTGAATGCAGTATATTTAGCCCTTCCTTTTCATGCACATTCTTGTGATGGTTGGCATATGGTGTAATTTTCTATTACTTGAAACAGTAAAATCCTTGCAACAAAATAAATTATAATAAAACTAAAATATTTTCTTTAAACCAAACTATGATGTTTGTCTTATATTTGGCAAATTTATGTTTGAATATTTTACAAAAATATGTTGCAGCGCATGATGGGGTTTTGCATCTAAAGGCTTACGTTTCCCGTCTTACGTGCATTGTTGCCTGGTTGGGATGTTTCCCAATCTGGCAGTTTAGGATGGCCCTCAATGGCTAAAAATTTTTTTTCTTAAGATTTATGGCCTAAGAGATCAATAGACTTTGGGTCAAATAGGCCAAGATTTTGTATATCCAGGCGAAAATCTTTTAGGCTGGAAAACGCTGGTGATGTAGTGAGTGGGGACGTTACGCAGCAGCAGTCCCTGTCTTGTCCGTGTTAATAACCAAAGCCAGTAAAACCGCATTATAGAGGTCTTGGTGATGGTTGTCGTGTGATGCTTGAAGATAGATCGGTTAATCAACAGTGCGTATTTCCATTGTGTTTCACATTGGAGTAGCACGTGTTTGACTGTGCTTCATTTTGTTTTTTCGGAGGGGGTCCATAGGTGGGCCGGTGTAGATGGAAAAATGCCAGGGCTAAAAATCATTCCCAGTCCGAGCCTGCTGCCTGCTGCCAAGGAGCTGCTCTGAGTTTCCAAATGGTCATCAGGTGCATTTACCTGAACTGCTGTAAATGATTAAACAATCGCAGAACAGTCATACAGAACTCTCTTTCCCATTATTTACCCATTGTCCGCTTTGTCTTTTGAACTAATGTGATTAGGTTTGAGTGGATAGCATCGTTAGCGTCATGCTACCTCACTTTTGGCCATTTGTATACATAGTGGCAGATATTTTGTGAGAATTATTATCCTTTATTCAATCCTTAAATCGTCAGCTTCAGACTACCACACTTTCCGTTTATTTTCAGTAGCTTGTAGAGTTTACATAGTTCATTAAACCTGATAACAATGTGACAGGGATTATTGGGTTTTAAAACAGAAACACAACTAATAAAACAGTAAGACGCTGTAGATTCTCAGAAAGACTTTGTATGCAACATTAGTGATTTACTGTGTCTAAATGCAAACCATGTCATATAACTTGACTATGACCCTTTGATCTTAGAAATGGTCTTTAGTTGATAGAAGGCCGACTTTTCCACCGTCTTTATATGCCTGTGGAGGTACAGGTCTAAGTCCATCACTACACCCAGATTTCAAGCCTGATTGGTGGTTTCTAGTTGAACCTGAAACTGTGTACTACCATTTATCACTGTTTTGTTACAGAAAATTATTACTTCTGTTTTATTTTGATTTAGTTGAAAACAAGTTTTCCACATTGTTGCTTTGATATCTTTGCATTTACCCAGTGCTTGAGTGGACTCACTAGTTATATTTATGCAGTTCCATTTGCGTACTTGAGTAACTTATTGAAAAAATATTGTAAGAGCAGCTGTACTGCATTGTTTTTTGTACTTGTACTTCAGTTATATTTTTCTGAACTATCAATAGTCTTAGCTGAGTAAGATTTCTGTCTACTCTGCCCACCACAGATAACTGCACCTATTAGGAGACCGGGTAAATGTGCAGTGAACTGTAGATATTGAGTAACTTATCAGGTATCAATAAGTAGTTTATTTAGAACCCGATATCTCACATGTGCAGGGTTTAATTTATTTTATTGGTCCTCTCTTTTATAAACCTGTTGATGAAAAACATGATCAATTGTATGTTTTCATACTTCTGTAATCTTAACTATGTCTATCATTTAACAAGTACACTATTATTTCCTGGCTATAATTTCAATGCCTTTATGGAGTCAAGAATCATACCAAGGAACTAAACATTATCTGACCCTTAACTACTATTTTTGTTTAGCCTAAAGTAAAGTGAAACATCACACCAAGCACATACTGAGCAACTTATCATTACTTAAACACTACCTGACCATTAACTGTTTTTTTTTGGGTATCCTTAAGTACAGTAAAACAGCACATTAATTCGTTATTAATTCCTGATTAGTAACTATTTGTGTTCTGGATGGACGGACGGACGGACGGACGGACGTAGCTCCTCCAAACTTGTAAGACCTTCACAGAAAATTTTAATTTCATTATTTTACTGAAAGGAAATGATTTGGGCTATGTGCTCTTTTTTGTATGATTTCTGTATCTTTTCCCTTTTATTTCATGATTGTTTGCCAGTTTACATAGTTTACACTAAAGTCTAAAGTTTTAATGGTACAAAACACAAAAGAGCCATATATGAAGTCCGTGGTGAATATGTGAATTTTGAGAAATTCAGTCTAACAGAATTGTACTTCCAAAATTGACCAAGATTTTACCTGTTCTGGTTATATTTTTTATTATTAAAAGTTGCAAGCACTCCCTGGTATATATAAGTTAGATATTTCCTCATAACCCTGTTTGCTTGTATTCTTTATTTGTGATAGTCATTATTAAAACACCAAACAAATCCCAGAGTTTCAATTGACAAACGCTGCCATCTAATGGTGACTATCAGCCAAACTGAGGACAACTGCTATTCTTGAAACAGCTTTGTAGTAAATAATTTAACAAAGGCCTTTATTTGAGCACGTAAATTCTTTAACTTGATCAAATGGTCCAGCCTAGAGAGACTTTTCCAAGCCTAATAAATCAGCTCAACATTGTAGACCCATAAACAAGACCAGTAGTAAAACAAACGTATTCATGAATGATCTTCTACTGACAAACACAAAAAACACGTCTCTTTTAGTGATGGATAAGATGAAAACAGCTGTTGGGCTGTCAGATGTAAACAGTCTACTGCACAGTTACAAAAGAAAAACTTTATCAGCAGACACAGACTAAGGCCCCATTTAAACTACATATCTGAAACTGATTTGTGCCGAGTTTGGACCGAACTTGGATCAGTTAACTGTGCTGAGCTTGGTTCTTATGACGGTTCTCCACCTCCTACTGGCGTTCCATAATACTACAGCTCTCTCGCCATTTCTGATTGCTTATGTAATCAGAAATGGCGGCGTCCATAACATAATCAAGTGCCTGGATAGCGTCCTCCGTCCAAATTTCAACGAGAGCCTCAGTCTCTGCATCATCCCAGGTCCCACCACACTCTTTTGATACAATTTTTTGTTAATAGGCTGAGAAGAAGTTTGTGTTGTCGGAAAACTCTCGAAATGAGTCAGCTGACTGTAAGGAGATGACGCGGTCTGCTCATGCACTCTTTGTTATCAGAGAACCGCTAAGCCCTACTGTTGAACAAGTACTAGATTTAGTGCGGTTCAGTTGTGTCTGGAACAGTCCAGTTCAGTTCCATCCCATTTATACTCAACAGTTATCTTGGTTACCGTGCTCGGACCGCTCTCGAAATGGTTTCAAAAGGTAGTGTAAATGGTGCTATAACATGGAGAAGAACATGGTTGACTAAAGTTCACAAACAATTGAGTCTTACTATTTACTCATGACTCATGAATAACTGTAGACAGATTGTCGTGTTAGAAAAAAAATAATTCTCAAAATATCTGAAAAAGGAGAAGGACCAGCAGTTTTTACAAATCTGTACACATATTCATATATGCCACCTCAGATACGAGCATATTTTCACTAATGTGGCCCTAAATCCTCTATTTAGCTAAAAGAGTTTCAATATTCACAAATTTATGCATGTAATACACACACGGCCAGTATGATTTACATATGTACAAAAAGTAAAAACACACAAACAGGACACAATAAAAATGCCTAATCCAGATTTATGAGGAAATATATCTTAATTTGCCAGCACTGCTCTGTAAACTTTCCTTTATTTGTTTGTAGTTTGTTGAGATTCCCAACTTGACTTGAAACACAAATATCAGGGTATTGTTTGTCCTTTTTACCAGGGAATGATTTACAACCATACTATAAGCTAATGTGATTGCCTTCCAAGTAAATCATCTCCAACCTGCGATATGTTGTTGCAAATGATGTCCTGTTAAAAAGTGTCTCAAGTCAGGAGAGTCTTTAAAGCCCGCACACAATGCCAAACATGCATACAAAAGGTAGAGTTCTTACTGCTGCCTCCATGAAAGAAGAAGGAACCGGAGATAGCAGCTTGATTCTGAATGCAGCCACTGTTTTTTTTGCAAGTTTACTCATAAAAATCAAGATTGGATTGAGGATAAATCCTAGTAACAGCAAACATTGATGTGATTTAGGTTATTCTGTTGTTTCCTTCTTATTTACATTTTGTAAAATGATCATAGTAAACACTAATTACTTAAACTTAAATTTTTTATAGCATCTTATTAAGTTTTTGCAAATATGTAGCCTACCTTTGGCAACTTTAATAAGGAAACTATCATCAAATAGTCCCTTACCTTTATTGTTTTCTTTAAAGCAGAAGCAATTCACTACTTTTGCATTGTATTTTATGATTGTGTACAGCACTTTGGTCCTGTCCTGTCGGTGTATAAAGTGCTTTATAAATAAAGTTGGTATGCTATTGTTTTGCAGTGGCGATCTCACCCACTAGTGTAATTTTTGATGGTGTATTACTCAGCTGATGTTAATTGTAAGCTGAGAGATCTGCATGTAAATCCTGTCGTGATCTCTCATTGAATATTTGAATAAGGAAAATACAACAGCTTCGGAAAAGAAAACAATAAAATAATTTATTCTTTTTCAAAAAAAGAGGCAGTTTGTGTTTTTACACCTATTGCACAAAACCAAAATCAGCTCATTAGATCTGCTAAGTACAAAATAAAGCATGATATACAAAAGAAAAACATTAAAAAACAATACATTTTATATCGTAGCACCACTCATTGTATAACTCTACAGGGCAGAGAAATCATTTACACTCGGATGGGATTCTACATCATTCACAGGCTTGTATATCCGTGTCCCTTTTTCAGACAGCCTGATGGGGACCCTTAACATACAGAAACCGCTACAGGTATCCATGCATGCAATGACAGGCAGCTTATATATTCAAAAGAGAGCTCCGTCTTTTCCATTTTTTTTTCCTTCTTTCCCATATCTAAGGGAGTTGTTTCTGTGTTATTTCTACCAGAAGGCACTAAAAAATGTCCAAAGGAGAAGGGGTGTTTAATTTAGAAAGGGATGGGCCCATAGTAGGCGGTGTATGCTGCGACGATACCCTCGGTGTCAGCCATATCATCGCAAGCAACATTCAGCTCACACACTTCTTGCAGGCTGTAAGAAACGAGTGGGGGAAAGAGTCAGGAATGTGTAACATTTTCTCACATGACAGCTAAAGTATTTCAATAAGTGTCAAAACAATAGAAGGATTTATTTATTGACTGATGGTACCTTTCCAGCTGCAGAGGGCTGAGCTGGCCTTGGACAGCTCTTTCTCTCCTCAGAAGAATAGAGGCCAGGTCTCTCTTCATAACCACATGGGAATCTGAGAAAAGAAAGCGAGAGGAACCAGTTTCAATACCTATAAATTACATTTTAATAGAATTACGTTTGTAAAAATGTGCTAATGTTCTCAATAAGAAAGACAAATGATCACCTTCAGCACTGACAGACTCTGAGGAGGATGAAGAAGAGGAAGATGAAGATGCAGCAGAGTCAGATGCTGAGGAGTCAGAAGCTGAGGAGTCAGAAGCTGAGGAGTTGGATTCTGAGGATTCTGATGATTCTGAGGATTCAGATGATTCTGAGGATTCAGCAGAGGAGGACTCAGAGGACTCAGAAGAGGAGGAGGACTGTGATGATGAATCAGAGGCAGAGTTGGATGTAGAGTCAGATGTAGAGGATGAAGCTGAATCAGACTCAGATGAGGAAGAGGAAGAAGAAGAAGGATTGGGAGCATCAACTGCAGGATCGGCGGCTGTGTCAGCTTCTGGATCCACGATGGCCTCAGGTTCTACAGCTAAACAGAATCAAACAAATTATTATAGGAACTTTAATTGCCTGCACACAGTAGTGAGAGCAAAACCACTTCAGGAAAAGGTTCTGTCCTTACCTCCCATGGACCAGCACACTGACAGAAGAGCACAGATGGAGAGCAGAGCCAGAGTCTTCATGGTGTCTTGTAGATGGGTTTTCTCCTCTGTCAGGCTGATTTCTTTGTGCCACTTTCTTTCCTTCCAATGTCTTGTTGTGTTTCTGTCTCTAAAGTCCAGGTCAATATATACTGTAGTCCAGCTCTATTGTCAGAGCAGACCCACACGTTCTACACAACTCTCTGATTGGCTGGAGAATCAAATATCAATGTTTCCGCTTCCACTTGTCAGGAAAGCTGCCACAAACACCCACACAACCTCTGGCACCGAATCGAAAATGTCTTGCAGCGTACACAGCCACAAGCATTCCTTTCATTTTCCTGTTTGCAAACAACATGGCAGGGCTTGTAGTTATACAGGGCCTTGTAAAAAGTCTTCAACCCTCTGAGATTTTTTCTCATTTTACCTTTGTGCAGCCATACACTTAGTTTGTGGGAATTTTGTCAAATAGATCAAAAGGAAATATTCTAATTATTATAATAATAATCAGTTTTTCTTTGTATAATAGCTAAAGTTTAGTGGATTGGATGACGAGTGAACACCAGGTTTTATAAACCATATTATGAGTTGAATTTAGGTCTCAAAACAGACTTTGCCATACTAATACATTAATTTGTCATTATATGAATAAATATCCTACTGTTGCCTAGGATGCATGTTGAGGTCGTTATCCTGCTGGAAGGTGAGCCTCCATCCTTTTCTTAATTCTTTTGCGTCCTCCAACAGGATTTTACTACTTTTAGCTCAGATCTTTTTCCCCATATCTCTTGGCTCTACCTTCCACATATCTCATCCATAATAGTTATGTTATCCAGAGCTATTTTCAATATTGATGCTGGTATAAGTTTAGGCTGCTGGAGGACATGAAGACCACTTTTTCTCGTTCTGCTTCTGCTCATTCCTATCTCTATTCCCCCATTCTGCAGCATTTGTTAATTCCACCCATAACTGTGTGCTTTCTCCTTTTTCTCATCATAGCAGCTTCAGCTGGTCTGTTTCTGTTTGGCTGTGACACCATCATGGAAAGAAATATCATCTGTGCTGCTGCCATCAACAGCTTTGTTTATAGATGTTCGAGCCACGCCTGTTTTTCAGTGTAGTCCTGTTTCTCTTACTATGACTAACTGTATGTGCTCTCTTTCATCGTCTGACATGATGAAAGGCTAATCTGTCTGACTGTGTCTTTGCAGGATGGGGCCACCTGTGGAGCTTGTTGGAAGTTGCCTTTTCTATCTTTGTTTCTTTCTGTATGTCTATTTCTATCTCCTTAAACCTCAGTCGGCAGATGGACACTCACTCTAAGCCTGTTTCTGGAGGTTGCTTCCTGTAAAAAGGACGTTTTCCTCTCCACTGCTGGTACATGCATGCTTGGTGGGAGGGATTGCTGAAGAGTTAACAACAAAATGCAAATGAAAGCATTGCCACAACCTCATCCAAGACAAGCATGTCTTGGAAGTCAATGATTTGATGCAACCAACTGGTTTTGCATAGATAGTGTCTTGAGATGATGTGTGTTGTGAATTGGCGCTATGTAAATAAACCAGAGGTGTCAAGTAACGAAGTACAAATACTTCGTTACTGTACTTAAGTACACTTTTTGGGTATCTATACTTTACTCCATTACTTATTTTTCCTCCTAAGATGTTGAAATGTCTTAAAAGATGTTGAAATGTCTTAAAGGTCAGACACAGGCTAGAGCGTATCGGGAGATGGAGACCAACAAGACCTCCCTCATTCTAAAATTGAGCTTTCAATTCATATTCATCTGGCTGTTTTTCTTAAAGGTTACTTTATACTTTTATACTTCAAGTAGTTTTTGAGCACATACTTTCACTTTTACTTGAGTAAAGAGGTCAAGTTGATACTTCAACTTTTACCAGAGTGTTTTTAAACTGCAGTATCTATACTTCTACTTAAGTAACAAATGTGTTTACTTTTGACACCACTGGAATAAACTGAATTTAAGTGAATTCTCCATCTCTGTTAAAGGAGAGTATCCCCACAGAATGATGCTGTGACCACATTGTTTTTGGACGGTGTGTCCAGAGTAATGTTCACTGTTAGTTGTACACCACACAAATTGTTTCATAAGTAGAACCAACAGTTTACCTACCCTCTCAGCTGAGCACCTTCGACTATGTGTTCTCTGTCTTTCTTACTTGACTTATGACCATTTGCAAACTAAAAACTTTAATGAGTTGCTCTCATCTGTAGCTTTCCTCTGGACACCATCATTAAGGTTGATTTGTGGAGCAACATGATCTTCTACCTGGGCTGTAGGTTCCTGCAATCCTCTGCTTGCCTTACTTGACATTTTAGATGGATCTGTTGCCTTGGATCTTTCTTTTACACATTTCTACTATGTCTTTGCCATCATTTCCCTTAGGTCTTACTTTCTATTTTTATTATGCTTATTTGAGAGCTGCTGCCCTCATATTCTTTTCATTAAATTGTTTTAGTATCCTATGTTTAATCCAGTTCATTTGCCATTCTGTTTCACATTTGGCCTTCTTTAGAGCTGTACTAAACAAAATGTATTTTTGTTTACACTTGTGTGTACAAAATAAAATATGTCTAAGTCTTTATTCAGAGTTTTGTGTACCTTTGTTAGCTCTTGTTTAATTAGGTTAGATTAACAGAGTAACGTTCATTGACTCTTCTTGATCTAATTTCTTTTTTAATCCTTTCTATGGCCTAACCCTGATCTTTACCCTAAAGCTAACCTTATAGGACATAACTATAAGTTTACCTCCTTATGGCCAGTAAGTGACCCACTCGCCCACTCTTGTACTGTTTGACAGCTGGTTGCCAGGTCTAAGAATTTGTGTTTTTTTTATTTACCTGTCCTGAAATGAATTGGCAACATCCATGTTACTTCTGAGCCCCTTTGCTTTATTAAATCATAACAAAAACACAAAAACCTGATCGATCTTCAACTTTGTTTTGCTTTTTTTTGTGTGGCTTAAATCTGAGATATGAAACTTAGAGAAGAAGCCGTTTCTCAGCTCTATGATGGAGCTACTAGGACCTGGCAACACCTGAGCTACAAATTACTTCAACCCCTGTTCCAAGTATCTATGTCTATATATTTTGGACCCGTAAACATTTATAAGACAATTATTTCTATGTTGAATATATATTACTTTTTGTCTGAACCACTCTAGACTTATATGGTTGTACTGTGGGTTAAAAAAGTGAATAATTTAGATGAAAAAGTTCTAGCTATGACCTTAATTTAATTCACACCTTAATCCTAAATCTAACCCTTTGCCCAAAACAAGTGGGGACAAAAAAAGCTCCTCAATTTATATCACACCTCCAATTTTATTATAAAATATGAAGAATTTTTTTTCACTCAGCTGAAAATATAAGTAGAACCACAAACATTTGTTATCCAATAAACAGCTTACTGCACAATTCTTTACAGTACTATTTACAAAGACTGTCCATGACACACAGCAGACGATATATCTTAACTATGTCCAGCTGAAAAAGATGCTGCTAAAAGAAATCAGCTAATAACTGAATATAAAGAGCTGAACGCAGGTAAAACTGTCTAACAAATTCAGTTTTATCCTGCATAATAACAACAAAATGTGTTTTACTTTCCTCTTCTATTTAAAAATTATTAAACATAGTCTGTCAATTAGTTCGAATTTCACAAATTCAACTGAAATTTAGGATGCAATGATCCATGAGGTTCAAAAACTTTATTTACTGCACTGCATGCTAACAGGCAAAACCACTATATCAGTTTATTACTTTCACTTTGCTCAAATCAATTAACCATTTAACTTTGCTTTCCAGACACAACTGTGTATTTCTTTATAATATAAATGGAGTATTTCCGCTTTAAATGTTTTTTTGACATATTTCTTATTTCTGCCAATCCTATATAATCTCCTCCAACCACAGTTTTTGTGTTGTTATAAATATTGTGACAAACCCTACCATAAACCTATAGTGGTGGTCCAAAAAATAACTCTAAGATGTAATTGGATTCTAATCAGGGAGACCTGAACGCTGTGAGTTTCTCAACAAGGTTGCTTCTTGTCCCATCCCTGTTGTGCTGCTACACTCTTTGCCCCAGATGTGATCCCCTGCCCCCACAAACCCCAAACTATAGCCTAAGACGGCCACAAGCTACTAATCGAGTGACACGGAACAGCAGCGAGCCTCATTATGCGATAGAGCTGAATTAGAGTTCTGCACAGTCCCTCTGAAACCACAGTCAGTCACTATTTCCAGATCCTACTAGGCCTGTCGGGTCCTGGAGAGATTGAAAGCACTGCCCCGGCTTACAAACACCAACCAGTGGCCCAACACAAAGCCTTACTTGAGGTATTTCAGTGTATATGGAGGCATATTTAGGAAACCCCCGTGTGTTGGATGCACAGCGTTATGCATGCGGTTTTGGTATTTTTCTCTTCGTACGATATGGTTCAATTGTGGCCTTAGCTGAGGTTTTCTTGATAAAAATAAATATTTAGTGTTTGCAGATTTGCCTCAGACTGTACTGCATCTGTGAGGATTACTAACCATTGATGGATGTATAACTACCCTTTTGGACCCCTGACTGTTCATCTGTCATACTGGGAGAGACGCTGAGAGGCTGTTGCAGATTGACCTCTCTGTCCGTAGAGTATCTCTGCCTGCCGTTATTCCTGGTGTCAGTGATTTGTTTTGGACTGTACGCTGTGTAATTTCAATGTCTGGTTCAGTGGCCATTTCTGTGTTTGGGGAGACTGGGCTGCAGAAAACAATTGCTTTAATGTCCTTGAGGAGGCAGGAAGTGTAGTGTCTGGGGCTTTTCTGCTCTGGTTTAATTTCTCCTGAGGTGCTAAGCAACTGGCTGTCCTTATTGTCTGTTTTTCTATGTTCATCCTGGCCCATGACTGCCCAGTAGAGAAACAAAGAATGGAACAGATCCTGTGCCATGAATTGTTTTGGGGTTTTTTTGCTTTGTTTTTCAGGATATCGTCCAACTAGTGGATTATTTCAGAAAGAATAACAACTGCAAGCAGAAACCAAACCGTCCAAAGGTTTGACTTCAGTTTAACTATGTACTCTTTATCTACTTATTCTTTTTTCTTATTTATTCTAGCCAAATCTGCTTACCCT